CCTCCCAGGAGTACCGATGTCGAACCCCCTCCAACAAAAAAAAAAAAAACAGATGGCCCCCTCACCTCTCACCCCAAAAATCCCCCCCCCAAAAAAAAATCCAATGAAAACGCGGGGTGTGAGACGCCAGGGATGCGGAAACTAAATGCTCTCCTCTGGCTGTTTGCGATTGCTTGGATTTGGCTTTTTCGACCCTGAGGACCGGAGCCCCTGGGAGGGCTCTTGGGTTTGATTTTCGCAGAGGGAAAACAATTTCAAAAAACACAAGGATCCGAATGAATGAGAGAGCGTGATCCACCGCCGCCTTAATGTGGAAAATTCTCGAGTCCTCTTCCTCTGGAACCCGGGGGTCCCCCCCCCTCCGAAAATTACCAACCCCCCTGCTCGAACCCCTCCCCCCCTCCCTTCCACTGGCAAAACACCTCCCCCTAACCCGCCCCCCGTCTCTCTGGAAAACCAGAGGCCTGTCACTACCAGTTCGAACCCCCCCTCCCGCCCCCTCCCCACTCCAGAAAACCAGGGGGGCACTACCGGTTCGAACCCCCCACCCATCCCCACTCACCCCGCTGGCAAACAACTCATCCCGGGTCCCCACCACCGCCCTCACCACCGCCCTCACTGTCGCATTGTCCCCACTGCCCCCACAACTGTTCCCACCACGGTCCTACACCCAATTGTCCCCACTGTCCCCGCCACTGTCCCACTGTCCCCACTTTCCCCACCACTGTCCCCACTGTCCCCGCCGCTGTCCCGCTGAGCTGTCCCCACTGTCCCCACCACTGTCCCCACCCACTGTCCCCACCACTGTCCCCACTGTACCACTGTCCCATTGTCCTACCACCGTCCTCACAACCGCCCTTACCACTGTCTCCACCACTGTCCCACTGTCCCACTGTCCCCACTTGCCCCACCACTGTCCCACTGTCCCCTCACCACTGTCCCCACCACCACCGTCCCCACCAGTAGTCCCGCTGTTCCCACCACTGTCTCACTGTCCTCACTGTCCCCACCAGTGTCCTCACTGTCCCCACTGACACCACGACTGTCCCCACCACGGTCCCACTCTCCCCATTATCCCCCAGTAGTGATCCCCCCTCATTTTCATGATCGACTGGGGGGGAAGTTCGAACCGGTAGTGACCCCCCCCGGTCTTCGAGGAGGGGGGACGGATTGGGAACACCCAGTAACCCCCCATGGCTTTCCGTCAGCAGCGGTAGAACACGCTCTTTCACATGAAAGCACAAATTCGCGCGCCCCTGTGATCGCAAACCCTGGGTTTTCATCTGGACGTTTTGGACTTCTGGGATGAGAACTGAAGACGCAATGTGTTTGCATTGATGTTGGTCATTTTGGAATTCTTCAGAACGGAGCTCCCGGGGGGCGGGCCGGTTTGGATGTTCGCCCGAGGATGGGACATCCGAAACATCCAAGCAATGATTATGTTCCTCACGCGTCATCCCTGACATCCCACGTGAAAGCACCGGTCTTCCGCGCCCCTCACATCGCAAACCCCGCGTTTCAGAAGGATTGCGTCGGCTGTCTGGGAGAGCAGGAGAGAGAGAGAGAGAGAGAAAGAGAGAAAGTGAGGAAGCAGAAACAGAGAGAGAAAGAGAGAGCGAGAACAGGAGACAGAGAGAAAGAGACAGAGAAAGAGAAAGAGGAATATACGGAGAAAGAGAGAAAGAGAAAAAGAGAGAGAAAGAGATAGAGATATTGAGAGAAAGAGGCATGGAGAGAGAGAGAGAGGGAGAGTGAGAGTGAAGGAGGGAGGGAAAGAGAGAGAGAGAGAGAGAGAGAGAGAGAAACAAAAAAGAGAGAGAGAGAGGGAGAGGGAGGAAAAAACACAAAAACAAAAAAATGAAAGAGAGACAGAGAGAGAGGGGGGGAAGGCAAAAACATACAAAAACACAAGAGAGACAGAAAGAGGCAGAAAGAGAGAGAGAGAGAGACAGAGAGAGAGAGAGAGAGAAGAAAAGCAACAAACAACAAAAAGAAACAGAGAAGTACAAACGGAGGAGAATCGAAACACGCTGTGTTTTCCAAAGTTCCAGCTTTTCCCAGAGAATACCTCCTTGAAAAACGTTGTGTTTCCAGCTTTTCCAGCGTTCCCCTGAGACTACCATTGAAAAACGCTGTGTTTTCTGGCTGTTCCAGCTTTCAAGCTCTTCCCAGGGGTCGTGTCTGGGAAAAGCTGGAAAAGCTAATAACACAGCGTTGCTTCAATGGGGCAGTCTCTGGGCAAAACGTGGAAAACACAGCGTTTTTCAATGGGGTAGTCTATGGGAAAAGCTGGAAAAGCTGGAAAAGTAAAAGAACACCGCGTTGTTTCAATGGGGTAGTCTCTGGGAGAAGCAAGCTGGCAAATACTGCGTTTTTTCGATTGGGCAATCTCTGGGGAAAGCTGGAAAAGCTGGAGAGCACAGCGTTTTTCAATGGGGTAGTCTCTGGGAAAACCTGGAAAAGATGGAAAGCACCACGTTGTCCAAGGAGGTTGTCTCTGGGGAAAGCTGGAAAAGCTGGCAAACACAGCGCTTTTCAAAGGATTAATGAGAGAGAGAGAAAAAGAAAGAGAGAGAGAGAAAGAGAGACGGAGAAGAAGCAGTCGAGGATGAGGAGGAACGTGTATGATCACAGGCGAATGGTATGAGACTGGGGGGCGACCACCCATGCATATATATATATATATATACACATATAAACACAGGCACACACATGCATAGATGCATATACGGTTGCATGTGCAAATATATGTGCATGTATACCCATGCACAGAGCCAACGGCATAAACATTTACAGGTGCAAGGGCATACTCATAAACACAACACTGTTCATATCAATATATGAATGTATAAATGTATAGTCAAATATATATATATATATATATATATATACATACACATCTACATATAGACATATACACGTACGTGTGTATATGCATATTCATGTGCATATACACACACATACACACCTTACATATGTGTATGGACGTAAACATGTAGATGTGTATATATGTGTGCACACACATACATGTGTATATATAATTACATATAGAAACGGTATAGGTATGCATAGATTAACATACGCGTCGGTCGTAGCGGTGCGGCGGTTCGCCAGCGCGTCGGGCGCCCTCACGGCTGGGGCCGAGCGCGAACGCAGTGTGGGCAGAATAAGAAAAACAAAAAACAAAAACAAAAAAAAGGGAAACGACTGGCCCCTCACGGGGCGGTGGTGGCTCCTCACGGGGCGATGGCCACGGGCGGCAGGGCAGGCAGCGGGCAACGGCCGCGGGGGCGGCGGGGCAGCGGGCGGGCGGGGGCCGCAGGCGGCGGAGGCGGGCGCCAAAGGGCGGCGCGCCGCGGAGCAGCCAGGGCCACGGCCAGGGCCACGGCCAGGGCCGCGCCAAAAGTAGGCGGGCAGGGCGACTCGGCAGAGGGCCAGAGGCGGGCGGCCGGAGCCGGAAGAGCCACGGCGCGCTGGAGAGACCAGCGGGCCGGGAAGAGGCGGGGCGGGGCGGAGCGGGAGGGGAGGCGGGAGGCCCACACAGGGGCGAGACCCGGTCGGCTGAACAAGGGCGGCGGCCGAAGGGCCAGAAATCCGCGTCGGGCCGCGGGGAAACGAGGCCGAGAGGCCAGGGAAGGTGCGCACGCCGAGAGCGCGGGCACCGCCCAAGGAGAGCAGCGACGTTGCTTTTCGTTTGGGTGTTGTTTTGTTGCTCGTTCTGCTCTACCTCTTCTCCTGTACCTCCCTGCCGAAACGAACAACAAAACACAGCCCAAGTCCAGCAAAACAGCGTTTAGGTCCTGTCCTGGTACGACGCGCACACACACACACACACACACACACACACACTTTTGGGCGTTGCGGACCCGCGCGCGGCGACAGGGCATATCAAGGTCGGAGAGGCGGGCGCGCGCGCGCGTCTGAAGGCCGAGCCCGCAAGCCGCTTGGCACAAGCACGCACACACACACACACACACACACACACACACACACACACACGCCCGCACGCACGCACGCACGCACGCACGCACGCACGCACGCACGCACGCACGCACGCACGCACGCACGCACGCACACACACACACACACACAGACACACACACACACACACACACACACACACACTTTTTTGCGTCGGCGGCCGGGCAGAAGGACTGCTCCGGCGGTGCGACCATAGTGGGGCACCCACAACGCGAATTAAGCCGCGGGCACGCGGGAAGAGGGAGGAGTCCCGGCGCGGGCGGGAGGGAGAGGAAGCCGGGCCCGCTCAGGGCAGGGGCAGGGCCAGGCCGCGGCAGGGGGGGCGCTGGGGCGGGGGGCCAGCGGCGGCGGCGAAGCAGCAGCAGAGAGGCAGCAGCCGGCGGGCAGCTATAGGCAAAGCCGAGGCGGGGGGGGGGCGCGAGCTGGAGGCGGGCAGCGCAGACGGGCGGCCGTGGTGCCGAGATCCGCTGACCTCCAGACACCAGGGGCAGCCGCCAGAGCGCCAGAGGGACCACTTCAGGTGAGGGGCCGAGGACACTGGGGGAGGAACCCAGCAGGGCGGAGTGGGGGGGGGCAAGGGCCGGCCAAGGCGCCGAGATCGGTGGACCTGCGAGGCAACCCAAGGAGGGCCGGCCCGAGACATCCCCGGGCCGGGGGGGCGGAGGGAGCACAGGGAAGCGCAGGCAGCAAGGGCGGAACACGCGGACCGGTAACGCCGGTGGGGCGGACACGCCAGATGGGCTGGCCTGGGAACCAGGCAAGGAAGGGGGTGGGAGCCGTAGCCGCGGATAGCCAACGTGGCACGCACGCACACACGCACACACTCAGACACGTACGGTCGGTCGGTCGGAGTGACGCCGTGGCACGTACAGCTTGGCTGGGCGCGTTCAGAAGAGGAAAAAAACGCACACACGTAAGCACCCAAACACACACACACACCAACACACACACACACACACACACACACACACACGCGCCAACACACACACACACACACAAGAGCGCGCGCGCACAAGCGTCCAGCTGCGTGTTGGGCACAACGATTATGTCAAGGAGAACTGTTTGCATCAAAACGAACACGATCGTCTATTCTACCAAGAATAGTTCTGGCTGCTCGAAACTCAAGACCGCGGGTATGAGCTTCGTACTTCCGCTTCTTGCCCCGCGCGACACAATCAAACTCTTTCGCCTCTCCGACACATCGATCGCATGTACAAACGAAACCGTAACCTTCCAACAAATGCTTGTGACGATCACCAAGTCTCCAGGGAACCGTGAAATCTAAGTAAGCTAACGAGAGCTCATCTCCATCATTCACATCCCGGCATGCTACGACGGAGGCGGCATTGCTGTTGCTGCGGTACTCGAGAACTACGTTCGGACAACAACTGTGGTTAATGTAAGATATATGCTTGAAGAATCCCATACCCTGGACATCTGGGAAAACGTTACAGTGGTCACTGTTCTTTACACTTTCATTTCGCAATCGATCCAAAGCATCCGACAATGTGAAACTTCTCGTTTCACCATCTGCGGGTCGCATCGGCACTCGGTACTCATTGTCGGCCTCTTGAGCTTTCAACACTAATGATTTGAAGAGCATATCGATGCCACTACGCTTGATTTCTGCCATCAGTTTGGGATGCATGCGGTCGTTTCTCAAACAAGGAGTGATAGGGACAGATATCCAGATAGTGGTAAGCTCAATTTGTCCACAGAGCTTTGAATACAGAGTTTCGTCAAACAAAACTTCGACATTTGGAGATTGTTGTTCTGCTTCTGGCTGCAATGCCATGCACAACAGCTGGAAGGACTCTTTCAAAGCAACAGCACGTCGAGCATGCCAATCTTGTGTTGACATCTCCCCACGAAGGTCTACCCCGAATCTGGCAATATCTGGCCAAGGAATCTGCTCATTTTCGAAACACCAGAACCGTCGCATCGAAGATTCTAAAAGGCATCCTCTCTCGATGTCGGAAATGACAGCTGCATAAACAAGACCTGCTAAGATAAAACCTTCGCAGTGCCTCATGGCAAACTGGACAAACTCTCCCCAAGCAACTCGTTGCTGGCCTCGCAAACTGCACAAAGTTCCATGCCATGACGCACTTGCCTCAGTTGCACACTGCGTGCTACAAAAGCACGTGTTGCATCCACGTGGACATGGTATGTGCTTCGATAACAGAGAGTCTGAGGTTTTGTCGTTAAGAAGACGTTCGATAATTCTGTAATCAGCATTCGGCTTGTCCTGAAGCGAAAGCAATCGGCTCAGAGCCGAACTCAGCGTTCCCAATGGCCGCATGCACTGTCCACAAGAATCGGTACATCTCTGACTGAAAGAATGACGCAAACTCATTAAAGGAGGTTCTGACCAAAGAATATCCCCCTTTCGAAATGCACGAGTCGCTTCCAAGCTGGCACCCGCCGTCGGCGTCGCGATGCGACGCACAGCATCAGGAAGCTGGTGAGCGGCCAACGGGAACATAGTGCCCAAGCAACAACAAAACGAATCGAGCCACGCGAATACTGAACACTATATAGCAGTGTAGTCGCGCCTGCGTTGCGGAAGCGAGCTCGTATTTGTTGGCCGCCAAGCGAAGCGGACGGTGGCCGCAAGCAGCCCTGCGGCTGCGACGCGCCCGTTCCGCCAAGGGCCAGGGCCCTGCGAAACAGTCGAGAGGCCATCGGCCAGGCCTCCTCGAGAGAGACGAGGGTCGAGGATCGAGGGTCGAGCTCTCAGAGCCCCTCCGCGCTGGCTCTCTCGACCGGCTGGCCTGACTTCCTCCCATCTCAGAGGGCTGGGAGGGGTTTGCGCCGGGGGGGCCTCTGAGAGCGCTTCCAAGAGCGGGAAAACAGTGGAGGAAGATCGCGGAGTGTGCGGGGGAGGGTCGGAGTCAACGAACAAGCGGAGTTGACCCCCTGTCAGGCCCGCAGGGCAACAAAGTCTGTAGAATGCCGTCGCGCGTCGGCCGCTCCCGTGACGGAGGGCTCTGGAGGCTCCCAGAGGCCTCCAGAAACCGAGAAAGGGCCAACAGCATCCGAAAACCTGGTTTTGTTGGATTCGTGTGTCTTTGGGTTCGCCGGACTTGGGGCCTGGCTAGAAGGGAGAGCTGTAGAAGCGTCGTCGTCACCGTCACCATTGTCGCCGTCGGCTCCGCCTTGCTTCCATGCTCATCTTCTCAGGAACAGAAATACAAAAGCAGCTTGTGCCCAAAATTATAGCGAGGGGCTTGGATGCAAATCCACCGACCATTCGGCGTTTGGAAGACGATACCGTCGTCGTCGTCGTCGCCGTCGTCGTCGTCGTCACCGTCGTCGTCGTCGTCGTGGTCGTCATCGTCGCCGTGATCGTCGTCGTCGTGGTCGTGGTCGTCGTCGGCGAGAGGCCTAAATCTCTCCCAAAACCAAAGGGGAGGTACCAGAAGGTCCTAAGACAGCCCCGCGAGCGCCCAAGCGCGCCTCAAGAGGCCCCGAAGAGGGCCCCAGGACGCGAGTTGTCGAGCTCCTGAGGGCACCGCAAATTAAGACCCCCACATATTTGATCGATGTCCTCCAAGATGGCCCAGGAGGCTCCCAAGAGGGTCCCAAGAGAGCCCCAAGAGAGTCCTAATAGGGCCCCAAAGGCCTCCCCACGGCCCCAACAAACAAAACCCCAAGATGGCCCTTGCATGCTGCCAAGAGGCTACCATTTTGAAAGATCCGCGAAGGCATGTATTCCCCAGTCAGAGCTTGCCTCTGTAGGGGTCCTAGCGGATTCATATGGGTAGGTATGTGTTGCCGCCGATGTCTGCGGCCCGCCCGTGTGCCTTATAGCCCTATATCCATATATCCCTATAGCCCTATAGCCCTATAGCCCTATAGCCCTATAAGCCTATAGCCTTATAGCCCTATAGCCCCATAGCCCCAGAGCCCTATGTGCTCTACGTGCCCTATAGCCCAATAGCCCTATAGCCCCAAGCCTTATAGCCTTATAGCCTTATAACCCTATAGCCTTATAGCCCCGTAGCCCTATAGCACTATAGCCCTATAGCCCTGGAGCCCCAGAGCCCATAGCCCCATAGCCCTATAGCCAGACGGCCCTATAACCCTATAACCCTATAGCCCCATAGCTCAATATATACCTATAGCGCGATAGCCCTATAGCCACATAGCCCTGTATCCCTATAGCCCTATGGTCATATAGCCCTATAGCCTCATAGCCCTATATACTCATAGCCCTGTGGCCCTGTGGCCCCATAGCCCCAGAGCCCCAGAGCCCCATATCCCTATAGCCCTCCAGCCCTATGGCCCTATAGCCCTATAGTCCTATATACTCATTGCCCT